AATAGTCAAACAAAAAAACAATGCAGGTTGGCACCTTCTCTGTTATGGTCTCAGAGAAGTGCTTAGAGGAATGAGATGCTAAATGGAGACCAAGGTTACACAGCTATTCGGTATCAGAAGCTAGGTCTTCTTGGCTTCAAGACCAGCTCACTATACCACACTGCCACCATCATGATGATGATCATGATGATGAACATTTCTATATAGTGCTTTAAGCCAAATGTTTTATATAGGTTATGCCACTGGACTATAGGAACAACCTTGTGATGCTATCATTACCCCCACTTTACAGAAAAGGAAATTGAAGCTGGGAGAAATTAAGTGACTTGCCCAGGATCATCTCCATGCAGAGCTCAAACTTAGGCTTCCTTAGCTCCAAGTCTGACACTCACTCCTCTCTCTGGAGTCAGAAGCCTCAGTTTAAGTCCCTTTTCTGCCACTTGTACTCTGGGCAAATGACTTCCCCTCTCTAAGGAAACTAACAGTTTCCTTCTTTGTAAAATTAGGAGGTCAGGCTAAATGACTCCAAAGATTCCTTCCAGTTTTGAATCCAATGATCCTGTGACTCCCAGACCAAAGACTCTTACTAAGACACCAGCCTGCTCCAGCTATCTAACAGTCAAATCCTTTGAATGGGGGAACAGAGGAATTTTAGGGGATACACAGCTCATGCAGACTAGGGGGAGGCACGGGGAATACGCTGGACTCAAAGAAGCCAGATTGTGGGACTCAGTGACTCCTAGAGATCAAGGAGACTGGCTCAATTTCCAGGCCACCCCCAGCCCCATCCTCATCCTCATCCCTAGCTGGGTAAGGAAACTGCTCCTAAGAATTTCTCTCCAAGCTTCTGTCTCTGTAGGACATCCCCAGGTTTAGTGCAACCCCAGATTTATAATACAATAAACATGTGCTAAGTGCCTGCTTTGTACAGAAAAGACTTGTGCTCCAGGCAGAGGGGAGATTTAAAAAAGAAATTGGTAAGACATGACCCTACACATCCCTACCGTCATGGAACTTATAATCTAGCAGGAATTGAGACATAAACATCAGTAACTCCAGTATTCAATATTATATAATCAGTGCATTATACAGGTATAAACCAAGTGTTAGACAAAATCTGGGGGGCGTAGGTCATTATCAACTGCCTAATCGAGTCCAACCTTCTCATCTGCTAGATGGGGAAACTGAGACCTAGAGAAGGGAGGTAACTTGCCCAGCGTCATCTAGTAAGTTAGTGCCAAAGCCAAGGTTAAATAAAAACCAGCTCTCCTGACCCAGGTTCAGCCTTCTTTCTAAAGAAAAACTGAAGGGCTCCACTACTGACCTTCCATTCCTCTCCCCACCCTCACCAGCCCCCCTCCATCCAGCTGGTCCTGCCTTGGATTTGATACACAGGCATTTGGTACATACCTCTATGGGTACATGTCCGTTAAAATGTAAGCTCTTTGAGGACAGGCACTTTTCTCTTTGTAGCCCAGGGATTAGCACAGTACCAGGTCCATAGCAAACATTTAATAAATGCATTTTGATTGGATGATGCCTGTAAAGCTCAAATGAGCTAATTACGTAAGGCATTTATTTGCAAACCGTATGTTAGTATTATCATCATCCCTCTCATCGTCATCACGTCTATCCGATTTCATTTAAAGTACACTCTTTCCAAATCTCCCAGTGGAAAGCCCCAGCTCCTTTTAACCCAGTTTGGGTTACTTTGGCCCTGGTAGGTGGGGGTTTCTTTTTTTGAGCTGGCAGAGGGTGCAGGAAATGTTTATTTTGGTTTCCAAATCTATGCTCAGCGACCTTGTCAATGTTATGGTTTCGATGACCACATTTTTCTAGTAATTTCTTGAATAAAGGATGGTGCCTCATGCAGAACTGCTCCAGCTCTGATTTGAGAAAGTCCCCAAGGGGGGGGCGGGAAACCAAAGACCTAAAGGGGGCAGTCCTCAGGGCTAAGAGCACCTTCCCCTCCCGCTAAGTCACTGAATCACAGAATTGGGAAACTAGAAGAGATCTCGGGGTGAATCCAAGCTCAGTCCCCAGAGAAATCCAACCGAAGGTAGGGGCTTAGAGACCTGGATATGTTTATCCCTCCAGCCAACTTATCACTGGACTTTGTAACCACCACCCTTCCCATGCACCCCATAACCCCTGCCAAATCTCTAGGATAGAATCCCAATCGATGACTGACAGGAGGAACCTTTGTGTGAGAAAGGAGTCACATAGTCCCAGAACATCAGAGCTGAACTAGCTCTCAGAATACTGAATGTCAGAGCTAGGAGAGGCCTTAGGACATAGAACATCAAAGAATGATCTTAGAACATACAGTGTCGGAATCGGAAAGAGCAATAATGTTAGGTGGGTAAGAAACCTTAGACCGTAGAATGTTCTAACTTGAAAAGACCTTAGAAATCATCGAATCTAAATCTCTCCTTTTGTACATGGGGAAACAGGAAAGAGGTCCAGGGAAGCAGGCTGTAAGTTCCTTAACAGCGTCACTTTTCCTTATCGTATATCCTTTCTACAACACTTATTGGGTCGAGTTGGCCCAAAGATATACATACACAGTGGCAGTCCCCAAGTGTAGGGCCTCTCAGCTTGCCTGACTATAAGGACCCGAGCTCACCTCAGAGAAAAATAATTCCAAATGCCTAGACACGAGCTGTCCCGAACAATGATGACGTAGCCAAGAGATGCAATGTCCTCATGAGAGACCCAACCAGAGACACACAAAAGTACTTGGGCAGACATAAACGCAGAATTCAGAGATACTCTCACACCTGGCTCCCAGAAAGTATAAACCAGCCAGGAGTCAGGATCTGGAATAGGACTACAGGGAGGGTCAGAATCAATGAGATCAAGGCCATGAAGACACAAACATACTAACACTAGCCTGACCCACCCTTCCAGCTAGCTCATTCCAGGCCTCAGTATCCCCACTGCACTTGGCATGCCTTGGTCTCTTGGCAAAAAAAGAACTGATCTCTTGACTATCAGTTCCCTGATACCCCTGGGAGGACTCAAGCAAGATGGATGACATCTTTGCTTTGGAGAAATCAAGAGGGAAACTCCTCTAAAATGAAGGTCATTTAATTAATAGACAATAAAATAAAATAAAGCAGTAAGACACAATTGTCTTGGGAGAGAGGAAAAAGACAAGAGATGAGGAAGGCTCCCATAACCCTCTCCTTGCCCAGCATTCCAAGCCCATGCCAGGGGCTGACATCATCCCCACTCCCTGGGTGCAAGTGTGTTGTAATGTTGCTCAATGCCCCTTGCAAGACTAGGATACACAGTTTCTTCTGTCTTCTTAGTACCCAAGTCCAAAGAGAACACACACAGCAAAGCCCCAAAGCAACAGAAGCTGGTGACATGACACCGTGGCACCATGATCCACAACAGGGAGGCTGGCACCAAATCCATCCCTCCCCAGTGAGGTCTAGGGCCTGTTTCCCCATTGCCCCCCCCCCCCCCACCAATACAGTGGTGACTTCTCCAAGGTGGTTGGGGAGACCAGGCCATAGCCAAGTTCTCCAAATACTTGGGGGGGCGGTAAAGATAGAGGGAGGGAGAGAGAGAGGAGGGAGGGGCTGGAATCCTACTCCCTCAGTGGATTGTATGAACTACTACCTAAGGCATCCCTGGCTTACTTAGCCCAGCCTCTCCAGACTGCAGAGAATCGCTGTTCCAGGGCCTCAGGCCCCTTTTGGAGAAGGATGCTCACCGAGGGTTTGGGGGAATAACCCAGTCCAACTACGGCATACTTAGAAGTAGCAGGAAGAGAAATTTTCTGCAGTCTCACCCCAGAGAGACTGGATCAGGATGGGGTATGGTGCTCCCTCCCTTGCAGACACAAGTGAAGAGGCCTGGGCCAAACCTCTTTTTAACATGCATCAGAAAAGTTAGAGAGCCTCTCCAAGAGGGATGGGTCGCACTGAAGGCCTCTGATCAGGGCATCCCCAAAGCCATCTGGCACTGTGACCACATACGACCACTGTAACCCAAGACCAGCGAGGGCTTCTCTCATTAGCTCTTCTGGTGGAGGGAGAGAAATATGGGACTGGAAGGGGGCTCCCAAATGCACAGGAGGAAGAAGATGAAAGAGGGAGAACAAAGGAGAGAAATCTCTGCTTTCATCCAGTAGACAGAGAAAACTTAATAGACTGGAAAAAGACAGGCAGTCAGTCAAAACTGTCAACTGGGCTCCAAACAGGAAGTAACCTCAGTTCTCCTCTTCATCCTCCACCCCAAGCTGAGGACACAGGGCTGGAGAGACCAGTATCAGGGCAATGCAGTCCTGCAGAACCGGGGTACCCATCCTCTGAAGTCAATCTACCCTGCTACTTGTGACAGGGGGACCCCAATGCATTTATCCCCCAAGCCCTCCTATTTCTACCATAGTAAGTTTTTGTCCTCACTGAATGCTGGGGTTGTGAGGCTAAGGCCAACACGAATGGGAAGGTTTAAAGAGCTTTGTTTGAAGGGATCCTTTAAAGCAGTCCCACATTTCTCAAGGCCATACTTGTGCACTGTTAATGGAGGAGGCTTTTTAGGCCTAGTCAGCTAGCCCTGAAACCATCTGGTCCAGGCTTCAGCCCAACTCCTCGAGGTATAGGGAGGCTCACACTCCCACCCAGACCTGGGACCCTAGGACAGGGTCGAGGGAGGAGGGAGGTAAGGGGAGGTGTTAACCCCTCGATCTTAACCCAGTTAGCATCATCCTTGTTTTAGGCGATGTTTGCTTTGTCCAGGGCTAAGAGTGACTGTTAAGCACACAGAGAGTGCTTAACAATATAAGCTTTTTATCAGAGACAGGTTAAAGTCACAGCTGTAGCGGCTGTCCTGGGGAGCTCCTATTATGTGCCGGGCACCGTGCTGAACATCGGGGCTACAAAGAAAGGCAAACGTCAACCCCAGCTCTCCAGGAGCTCCTGGACAGGGGGTGGAGGGGCTGGGGGGGGTCCCAAGATTGGGGGGGAGGCATTTGCGACGTGACTCACTTCTTCTTGTACTCGTCCCGCTCCCGCTTCACCTTGGCCAGCACGTTGTAGAGGGCCCGGATCTCGGGGGTGATGGTGTCAATCTGCACGCCCACGCCGTCGGGGTGCACCCAGGACACGCCGGGGCCCTGCACGGTCTCCACGCCGCCGCCGCCCGTGCGCCGGACCTGCGTGTAGCTCCAGATGGTGCCGGGCAGGCGGCTGTAGTGCTGCGGGTGCGAGCCGCAGGCGCCCGGGGGCACGTTGCCGTTGGCGCCGAGCGGCGGCGGCGGCGGCGGCGGCGGCTGCTGCTGCGGGGGGTGAGGGCCGGCGGCGCGAGCCAGGGCCAGGGCGAGCTCCGGGCCCGTCTGCACCGCCTGCTCGCGGGAGAAGGTCTTGTAACGCAGCCGGCGCTCGCGCTCGCTCTGCTGCTGCTCCAGCTGCTTCTCCAGCAGCCGGTTGCGCCGCTCCAGCTCGTGCACCTTGGCCAGGAAGCAGCGGAAGCGCACGTTGAGCCCCTTCAGGAGGTAGATGTTGGAGCCCAGGTCGTCCCGCAGCGCCGCGGTCACGGGCGACGGCCCGGGCCCCGCGCCGCCGCCGCCTGCGCCCCCGCCGCCCGGGCCGCCGCCGCCGCCCGGGGGGCAGCCGAAGGCCAGCGCCATCTCGCCGAACAGCAGGGAGTTCATCATGCGCCGGCTGCGGGGCTCGGGGACCCCGCGGCGCGGCTCCAGGGCCGGCTCCAGGTGCGGCTCCAGCTCCACGGCGGGCTCCCGGCGGGGCCGGGCCAGCGGGGACGCCGGGTCGAGGGCCAGGAGGGGCTGCGCGCGGACGCGGAGAGCCTGCGGGAAGGGCGCTGCGCCGAGATGCTCCGGCCCAGATGTGGTCAAGCGAAGAGGGAGGCCGGACACCCGGGGGCTGCCGCCGCCGCCGCCGCTGCTGCTACGAGGAGGGGGCTGGGCGCAGAACTGCGGCTCCGGCGGGGGGGCCACTCCCGGGGCTGTCACCGACACTGTGGAGGCGCCGCCGCGGCCGCACGGGAAGGGGTTTCGCTTGGCCCCGCCCCCTCCCGCAACAAGCCCCGCCCTCTGCAGAACCAGGCCCCGCCTCTCCTTCGCCGGCACCGCCCCGGTCTCGGCCTCCCGCTGCGGTTCTCCGGGGGGCTCTGCACTCTGCCAGCTCTTTCCAGGCCCTAAGCCGTCGCCCTTTCCCGCCCCCGCAGCCAGAAGCCACGCCTATAGTTTAAATAATGCCTTGAAGCCACGCCTATCTGGCGACCCGCAATACATAGCCACGCCCATTCCCCCTCCCTTCCCGCGGCGGTCCGCAGAGTCGGCCCCGCCCTCCCTCCGGCCAGGCCCCGCCCCCTGCTCGCTCTCCAGGCCAGCCGCCTGCTTCCAGTTTCTCTGCCCGGGGACACAGACCGCAAGGCTGCGTCTTGGACTCTGCCAGCCTTGGCATCCCGCAGGGGCGGCTCGCTCGGCTCTCTTAAAGGGACCGACTACCTAAAATCACCAGATGATCTACTTAATTCTCCCCAGGGTCGCTGGCTCCCTTGGAAAGCTCTCACTTCCTCTCAGCAAAAGGGGAAAAAAAAATTCTTGTAGCTGCAGAGGCTTCTACCCAGGAAGTCTCAGCACGTGATTTCATTCATTCACTCAGCAGATATTTATTAAGCGCCTACTGGGTGTAGGGCCCTGCGGCAAGCTCAGGCCTGCCCGGCTTCTGCAATGCTTCTCTAGCCCGACTGCCTAACGTGAAGGAAGATTCTGCAGAGGCTTGGCCATTGCTTCCCCCACCTCACACCCAGCTGCTCTTCTGGGCCGCGCCCAAGCAGAATTAGGGCATCTGCACTGTCCCCCCCACCCCCACCCCTTGCACGTGCACACGCATGCACACGCACGCATACATTCCCTCTTGGCTTAAAAAGCCCGCTCGTCTTGTCCCACCCCGGGCTGCACACATCCCAGACACTCCCTTCCACCTTGTCCAGAGATGCCTGCCCAGGATAGCGGGTGCCTCTGTTTTCCTCCAGGCAATTGGTGACTTGCAGAGCCTGGCTTTCGGTGCCCATCTCCGGCGAGGGCATGGGAGCGGGGGTGGAGTGCGGGCCTGGCTTCAGATCTAGGGACTTCAATCAGACATCCCTCCCCCTGGTGTGACACGGGCTGGCAATGTCTGAAATGTGTCTCTGCTCAGGCTGAGGACTTAAATAATCAGCCAGACCTGGCAGAGATACCGGTCCCACGAAGAGAGGGGGAGAGCACGGGGCTCCTCTTCCGGCTGTTGCCTAACATTGATTCAATTCGATTCAATACACATTTACTGAATCCCTAGGCCCAGAGAGGGTTGGAAGTGGAAGGAATCTTTCAAACTAGGATGTTAAAACGTCGGAAGTCAGAGCTGGAAGGAGGCTTAGAACACGGAATGTAAGGACTAAAAAAGAACTCAGAAAATATGAGAGATTCCTATATTGTACAGATGGGGAAACTGAGGCCTATTTGCTCTCTACCACACCAAACTTCTCTTGATGCAGGGGAACTCTGAGGGAGAGGAGAAGAGGCAGAGCTCTTGCTAACTTCCTATTAAATTCCTCAAAGAGACTGTTCTAAGCCTTTTTCACATTCCTCAGGGTCTCAGACCCACCCCCACCTCTCTCACTCCCAACAGATGACTACTCCCTCCCCTATTCAAGAGACCATCTGGCCCGGAGTTCTCTAAGCTTCCCTCCCTTGCTCAAGTCCACCTGTTACCACACCCTCCCCAAGGCCTCAGAATTCCTCTTTCTTTCTAGATGGAGTCAGCAGCATGTTCTGAGGATAATGAGAAAACTGGCCTTTGTTGGAAATTAAAGTTCATGCTGGAGAGACCCAGGTGATGAGGTTGGAAAAAGTAGCATAGAGCCAAATTGGAATAGAATGCCAGAATGAGGCATTTGCTGAGAAGATTCCATAGAGGACACAATGTCAGAGCTGGAGGACCTTTAGAACAGAGTATGTCAGAGCTGGGAGAGCCCTTAGAACACAACATGTCAGAGCTGAGAGGTGCCTTAGAACACAAAATGTCAGAGCTGGGAGGGCCCTTAGAACACAGGATGTCAGCGCTGGAATGGCCCCTAGAACATGGAATATTGGAGCTGGCAGGGCCCTTATAGATCAGGTATGACGCCTTAGTTATACAAAAGAGAAATCGTCGTGTGCTTTAAAAGGATTTACAAGTTTATTGAAGAGACAAGATACACACATATGAAAACTCAAAAACTATTCTAAGGCCACCAAGAGCATTCGAATATGGTCCCGTGCAGACTGTATCCAGCAGAAAGAATCATGTACCAGGACCCAGGAGACCTTGGTCTGACCACAGAGTCCCTACACTTCCTAGCTGTGTGCCCCTCTCTGGATGTCTGTCTCCTCATCTGCAAAATGGCAATGATACTGGTTACACCCACTTCTAAAGCCACCCTTCATTTGAACCAACTCACACAAGGCTAGCTGCCTCCCCCAGGGTCCTGAAGTTGAGAAAAATTTCTAGTTATTTACTCCCAGGTTCAGCTCAATTCAATTCCATTCAACTCACTAAGTGTTAAGGTGTAAGAGAGCAGTGGAACAAGACAGCCCAGAGGCAGTGGGCGATATTTCAAATCCAGCACGGGGCTGGAGGTGAAAATTTATCTTCTTAGCACCAGGCTAGGGCAGATGCTTCATCATTCCCCTGCCTTCCTACCCTCACCCTCTTCCCCTCAAAAAAAAAAAAGATTGGCAAGAGGCTGGCTTCACTGCATTCAGCAAGGAGCACATTGTTTGGCCTTGTGCTCTCCAGGCAGCCCCAGGCAAAAAGCCTGTGTGATTACCGTCAGCCAGCTTGCTTAAACAATCTTTCTGGGTGGATTCGCCATTCCTTCTCATAGGCGTATGTTCCGCGGAATCCTGGGTGGGAGAGTGGCTCTTCCTCCGCACAAATCCAGTGTGAAGCTGCTAAACGGGGGACTTGGCACCAGGAGATCTGGGTCTGATTCCCCCCTTGGACGGCAACTAGCTGTGGGAGCCACCTAAGCAGGCCACTTCATGACCTGTCTGAGGCTGTTTTCTCGTCTGTAGTAGCTGTGAGGGAGATGTTTCTAAACACTGAATGCTCAAAAACAGGAGGGACCTATGATTTCGTGACCCTTACCCTGACAGATCTCAGTGTAAGTGGGCCATAACTTAATATATAATGAAATTGCCAAGACACACAGAGATCACATGAACAGCCAGTGGCAGATTTGAACCCAGGTTTTCCTGATGCCCAACTCACCACTGTCCAGCACACACTGCTGTCTCCCCAGATACACAGGAGAGAGAGGGGGCACACCAGTGATTTCATTGGTGTAAGGAACTCCCAGTACAGACATATGTTTCTGCTGCCAGTGCAGATCGACAGCTGATTTTAGAAGACCTGGGGCAGTCAGGTGATTTGCCCAGTATCACATAGCCAGTAGATGTCAGAGGTGATACTCAAACCTGACTCTGACTCCAAGATGGATTCTCTATATCCTATATGATTCTGCCGGAGTGTAGGGTGTTCAGGAAGACTGGTACCTCTGGTATGAGGGCTGCTGATCCCTTTTCAGGGCTACTAAATCCACCTCTGGCATCCGCCTTTCGCCCAACCCTTACCTGTGGCTCCAAGAAACTAGCATGCCCATCGCCCACATCGCAGTAAACCGTCTAAACCAGGTTGAGGGTAACAGAAGGTCTCAAACCCTTCGGTGAGTTAGGGGGTTCTCTAACCTAAGCATGGACTTTCTCCACCGGAATGGGTGGATGGGAACAATTTGTTATAACAGCCGTGAAGGTGCCTGAAGCAGGCACTGGGGAGCCCTCAGAGCGTGGTCAAACATTGAAGACACCGAGGTCATCCACTACACCCCCGGCCGTGACCAGTCATGATTTTTGTCTTGCCACTGGACTTTGATGACTCTGAAAGAGAGAGTGAGGCTGACAACTCTGTGCACCTCTGCCTCACTGAGATCGAATTCATGTGCTGGTCAAGACGTTAAACCATGATATCATTGATCCTCTTGAAAACACAGTAGATACTTAATAAATACTTGACAAATGAATATGTTTCGTTTTAGTAAAAAAAAAAAATTCTACCACTAACTGGACTGACTGCCTCTTCTGTAAAAGCCTTTAAGCCCCCAAACAGCTGCCATGGACAGGGTCAGACTAGATGGTCCCTTAGGCCCCTTCTAGCTCTGAGATTTTGTGATGCTGAGTGTAGAATTTCAGGAAATGAACCAAAACTGAGCTGGGAACCTGTGCTTTCTTTGAGATAAATACCAACAGATTCCAGATCCCAGGAAGAGCAGGAGGTCCAGCTCCTCCATTTTACAGATAAGGACAATGAGGCCTGTAGAAGGGGCATGACTTCTCCAAGATCAAACAGCAGAGCACCTACCAGCAAGCTGTCCTGGCAGAACTGGATTTTGAAATGAGGTGTCTTGATTCCAGGTCCCTTCCTTTTTCCACCGACCTTTTCTCAGTCTGAGAGCTGAGGCTTCTCATTACCATAATCAGTGTTCATTAATCCATCTACCAAGAAGACCATCCCTGGGGCAGCTAGTGGCACAGTGGATAAAGCACTGGCCCTAAAGTCAGGAGGACCTGAGTTCAAATCCAGCCTCTGACACGTAACACTTACTATCTCTGTAACCCTGGGCAAGTCACTTAACCCCATTGCCTAACCAAAAAAAAAAAAAAAGACCATCCCTTCTGGGAGTTTACAGCCTAAAAGAAACACAGGGACAC